ATATACTCGTAGCGTACTACACGAATTCAGGAGAAAGTGGTCTTAAGCTTATTATTTGGTAATGCAACTTTAACTTTAGCGACGTATTAATAGGGTACATTTTCCATTACAATATTAAGCCAATACGGTTCTATAGATCAGTTGTGTAGTGTAGACGGTTTCGTAGCGTTCGCTTTCGTTGGAGCCTGTTGGCCGCCCGCCCAGTGATCAATGGGCGTCTGTAGTAACTGATTTTTACGTTGAACGTAGTTTTTGTACTTTTATGCAGGGGAAAAAGATAAAGGAATCAGTTACGAGCTCATTCTCTAGGGTTTAACGCAAAGGCGAGAGTTAGCCAAAATTATAATTACTCTTTCATTTCACTAAAGACTGCTGGAGTTGCTTTAATTTTATGTAAAAATGTCACGCATGTAATATGTGTCACATTATATATACTGTATATTGTATATTTTGCATTTGAACTGAAAGTTTCAAATATTTATATAAAGACTAGCGACTCACCTTCACTTCGCTCGGGTTTGTCCCTAGATACCTTATGACGGTTAGTATGGAATACATAGACTATATAGTCAACCTATTCCACTGCCCTTTTCACCCCCTTAAGGGATGATTTCAGGGTCTCAAACTATCTCCATACCAAATTTCGTCTACGGTTCAGCGGATTAAGCGTGAAAAGGTAACAGATAGACAGACAGACAGAGTTACTTTCGCATTTATATGTATATTAATATAGATTATCTTAAATGAGTTAATAATTCTCAGCATATTTTATTAGTCATCATTGACAGTTATATCGATTATATTCCACGTCTCATTCAAAATGATACACGCTATTTAATAACACGTTGTAATATATTGTATTTAATACCAATATTATACTGTTGGTTAGTCAATTAATAATTGGCTAAAGTAGGCTAACACGCACGGTAACTAACACGCGTTTACCACAAACATTGTATGCAACAGTTACAAATTCTCCAATTCTCAAATCTTTAAATTCTGAAATATTATATTATAAATTACAATAGTAATAATTATAAACGTAACAGTCCAAAGCTATATTTTTTGTAATATTTTTTTTATAAAACATGTTTTAGTCGTGGGTTTTGGTGGTATATCGTGAATAAATCGTTTGCAAAAAAGGATTTTTTGCATTAATATGTATTTTAAGTACATATCTAAAATTTTATTATGTACATATCTAAGTTATATAAAGAAAAATGAATTATAGAAGTAAAACCACACTTCTCGTTCATGGTAAAGAAACAAAAGTAATACCAGATCATGTTAAATCAAAGGCGTTGAAATTCATACAGGCTAAGACTTTGAGAAAAGTTTACATCGAGTTTATACAAAAACCTTCATTTTCAGAATCAAAATATATTTGGTGAACTCATATCCTTAATAAATACTTATAATACTTTCAAAACGAAACGCGTAACAAGATATTCACAGCTTCTGTTCTTGTGGCATCTCTTCCATTATCGGCATAAAAAGGTGCTTTTGAAGCTTTCTAAAATACAAGCTAACTGCGCAAAAGTTCAGCAAGATGATTTACCGACTTAATTTTGAAATGATAACAAGCAAAAAGATAGTTATCCTTTTGAACTGTTATATTAATTAATATATTAGCGACTTACACGCGCTTCGTTCGGGTGCATCCTTGTGTACGCAGATTTTGTTTACAATTCAAAAAATTCATAGGGTTTAATTTTATTGCGCTTTACCCTGATTCTTTTTCTAAAATAAAAGTAGCCTAAGTTACTCCTTATAACATAAGCTATCTTCCAGTGAAAGTACCGTCAAAATCGATCTAGCTGTTTCGAAGATTAGCCGGAACAAACATACAGACATACAAAAATTTTAAAAATTGTTTATTTCTTACTAGTACCGTATATGCGCTCATAATTCATATGCATTTAGTAAAAAGCTGTTGTTTTGACGTTACAAACAGACACTTTAATTTTATTTATCTGTATAGATAAATAGCGCAATAGCTATCACATGAAAAATATATGATGCTTATAATTAAAATCTTACAACAACGGCAATTATTATAAAATACAGTACATTGTTATACAAGGATAGTATGAAATGAAAAGGAATACTAGCGTACGTCTATGTATTACATGACAGTGTTGTTTATTGTTCTGTTGGACACCACAGAAACCACATGCGTCTACAATATGTCCCACATTAATCAAGTCTCTACACTATGCCAGAGTACTCTGACAATAATAAGTTGATATTTATAAAAGACTAGCATTGCCCGCGGCTACGCCCGCGTTCAGATGACCAAAAACCAAATTCTTAGGTTTTACATATTAGTATACTCTTACATTGCAGTTTTTGTATTTTTTATCAGAAATGAGACATTTTTCTGCTGTAAAAAGTATCCTATATGTTGACCCGGATAACCAGCCATCACATTACCAAATCTCATCATAATCCCTCAAGTGGTTTTTCTGTGATGCGGTAACAGACAGACAGACAATAATTCTAAAAATTATAGATTCGGCATCTGTATCGATAATAATGTTTATTTCAAAAAGATTTTCCAAAAAATATTAAATGTACAGATTCGACTTAGTTACAATTTTATTATATGTATAGATTTAAAATAAAAATATATTGTTTTGAAATATTACATATAATACTTAAAGCATTTCGTAACAATAATAGACGTATTAAGGGCAACAGTAATAAGGGATGAAAGATAAATAAATGACTTGGTCATATAATGTCATTCAAACTTTGATTGTAATCGGGCTACTCGTGTTATAAATGCGAAAGTTTGTATGTGTGTATATGCATATGTTTGTTACTATTTCACGCTGAAAAGACTGAACTGATTTGGATGAAATTTAGCACACAGAAAGACCTGTAACACGTAGTACTATTAGGCACTTAAGGACGCACAGGACCTCAAATGAACGTTGCTAGTGCATAAATAACAGAAAGGCATAGTATAATATTCAGCCCCTTTTTAACGTCCCGGGCACGGGCCTTCCTTCAGTACGAGGAGAATCAGGCCATAGTCCACCACGCTGACCAACTGCGGGTTGGCGGACTTCACATGTCTTTCGAAAACTTTCTAGGTTCTCTCAGACATGAAGGTTTCCTCACGGTGTTTTCCTTCACCGGGTAATCATGTTGGAAATGATTCGCACATGAAAATATCAGAGTGCGAGACTCGGGATTTGAACTCGCTTCACTCGGTTTCCCAAACGAGCACGTTACCACTGGGCTACCACTGCCTTACCACCACCACACACATAATGCCACAAAAAGGCATACTTAAATAAATTCTGTTCTTTATACAGATGATTGTTTAACGAGTGGACTACATGTTTGTTCGGTAAATTTAATTTTAACACACCATTGACAAATATTTGGATGATTATGTATACATTATACTGTTACAAATACCGATTAGTAGCTGGAGTATTTTGTTACACGTCGTGCGGTCGATACCGCAACAGCCGCTTATGTTTATAAAGTTCCCTGCATGTGGTTACGCGTACATTGTTGAGTGAGCCCTTTAAATATTTTGTCTATTTACCCTTCACCTGACGTGACAAGTAAACAAGCTTGGCTCGGGACTGTTAAGATAAAAATGTGCATAAACTGCGTAGTCTAAACGTTTATAATTATGTAATAGTAACTCCGTTTGTCTGTTTGTTGCCTTTAATAAATATACTGCTAAAATTCGATGAAATTTTGAAAGTATTTATATATGCATGTATGCTACATATTATCATAGGCTAAATGTTGCTCCTAATAATAAGCTGACTATGAAATAATCACAGATAGTTTTTTCTACAGTCTATATCTTAAATACCTATATTTAATTTAAGAACTTTATACTAATAATATATACCTTGTAAAGAGTAATAATAAGTACCTAGTACCTACTAACATTTTAGAAGTTCCATCACACAAAATCGCAGTCCGTCCGTTCGAAAAGAATGTCTAAAAAACTTTTAGACAGTTAAAATAAATTCAGTATCTGGGAAATAATTCTCAAAGTACTGTTTTAAACAGCTTACGTAGCATTATTATGATCGTTTAAAATTTTAAATGCTTTTAGTAAAGTTTTATTCTTAAGTCAGTTAGGCTGAGTACTTTATGCTTAAATAGAAAACATAACAACAAGCTAGTGTTCTTAGCGCCGCGAGAATATTCTCTCAGTTCGCCGTTTTCCGTTTCATAAAGATTTTTTTGTCAAGACACTCTAAGAAATGTTTGTGAGAGAAGAATAAGAAACGACCCTTTACACGAACGCTGTTGTTTTTTTGTGCAAAGTAGGCTAGAATTATAAATAACTGTTATAAGTATAACGTAAGAGTATATCAACCGGAGTTCGTAATATTAATAATTTCATTCTCACTAAATGTACGTACCTACCTATAGATATTGTCTATAACTACTAAAAATCGTTGATTGACTCTATATAGATCGTTACACAACACGGTTCTTATATTATTTATTATTGTTATCTTATCAAAAATGTGAGAATTTTCGTATCTTTACAATCTAAATCTATGTAAATCTACGAGTTTATGAATTATTATAATTTATAGGATACATGTATCCTTTAACAATTGCCAAAAACAAATTGTCTGGTTGATTTTTCATTAGAGCTGTCGCGTGAGATATCCACATTCTGTTGGGTTTTAAAATTAATCGTCGGCCACCCTTGTCAACGGACGTTCTCCCGAGTCGCAGGGTAGCGGGTCATCGACCCCGGGTATTTAGGACGACCCGGCGTTTACAACATCGAAACAAATACGCCAGGAAGTAGGGCGAAGGGTATGCCGTGAATGGTTTCATATCCTCCCTTTACGCCTTGTCAATTCCTTAAAATAAATTATTTATCAGACGTAACAAACTCGAGTATTTGCTGTCAACATCACTAAAATTGCTATTGCACAGTAGTTTATAGTAAAAACAGTATACCGCGTTTAAAACTAATTTGAACAATTCGTGCAATCATTTACCTTTCTTTGACATCTGAATTCGATTCGGATCCATTGACGATAGATTCCGTAATTTTCATGGTTATATTTTCATACATACATTTCATTGATATATTTATTTAGAAACACTGTGTCCATCCTTATAGCTACTCGTCATATCATTTTAACTTTGAAGTGCACGCGCAGGTCGCCGCGGACGCACTGTCTATACTGAATGAAGCGACAGCGTCGCGGGAGATCTAATTCGATGATACCTCGCTCGATTGCAGTAATTTCGTCCTGCCATTATTGCAAACATGAGGGCGGGACAGGACATAAGCTCTCCAGTGAAATTGTTGCACAAATAGATTATTAATGGCATCAAATGTGATCGGACTGTCAGACGTGGGAACTTTAACTATATTATTTGTATTATGTAAAAGTGTATGTAAGGCAGTGGTAGCCCAGTGGTAACGCGCTCGCTTGGGAAACCGAGTGATGCGGGTTCAAATCCCGAGGCTCGCACCTCTGATATTTTCATATGCGAATCATTTCTAGCATGATTACCACTTGCCTTACGGTGAAGGAAAACATCGTGAGGAAACCTGCATGTCTGAGGGAACTTAGCAAGTTTTCGAAAGATATGTGAAGTCCGCCAACCCGCACTTGGCCAGCGTAGTGGACTATGGCCTGATCCCCCTCATATTGAAGGGAGGTCCGTGGCTAGCAGTGGAATGTTAAAAAGGGCTGGATATATACATACATATGTAAGTACATATGTTTAGTAATGACCATGTCATTACTGCTAACCATAGTTTTAATGGATAGGTAGAAAGATAGTTTTTAATAACTTTTGTAATTTAATCTGTAATAACAAGGGATTGTTTAGTAAATTCTGTTTAAGTTTACCCTCGAATACTTGTAGTAAGTAATATATACTCGTACAAAGAACAAACATCTCCATACTTTTACATAATTAAAAATTAAAAATTAAAAAAAAAACCCCTACGCAAATGAATTGTCATTTAACCATTACACTAAAAAACAAAAAACTGAACTGAAATGGGTCCATCCGTTTGAGAGCTACGATGCCACAGACAGACACACACGCAGGCAGAGACAGACATCGACGTGAAACTAATAACACCTCTCTTTTTGCGTCGGAGGTTAAAAACTTATTAAATCATTGAAACGTCATGAACAGCCGGGAATGTCAACTATAAACACTGTCTGAGTGATATCTCATTATTCGGCTATTATAAAGGCATTTTGCGCAAGAGCTATAATTGAGGGACGCAGGGGTCGGGTGGATACGGATGCGGATATTGTCGATCATGTACCAGACGATGTGACCATGATCATGGATGAAAAAGATGTTAATAAAATATATTTTCTCTTTACACTATCACTGAATATTAAAAAAGTAATAGCTGATATTGCGCGCGTTGAATATTCCAAACCAACACAATATTTTTATGTTACGTTAACCCATAAAATAGGAGCTTATCTAGAATAACACTTGAAAAATTTAGGGTTAAGGCGAGTCCGACTCACACTTGGCCAATTTTGATTATTTAATTTTTTACTTAATAAATTACACATGCTATAATACACAAATCTTTCATATTTGATCTTTGGTATATATTACCGTTTTGACAATAGAGACAAAACAAAACAGCATTTAAACCTAGACTCATAGACATACTTCAATTTTTAATTTCTATCTTATAAATAACTAGCGGTTTACCTGTAGAGAAACAAAAACAGATCTATCCCACGGGAACCGTACATTTTCCGAGATAAGAAGTAGCCTATGTGCTATTCCAGACTATAATCTATCTCTGTGCCAAACATCCAGGTCCGTTCAGCCTTTCTGGCGGGATTGAGTAACAAACATCCAAACATCCATCTAAACTTTTACATATATAATATTAGTAGATGTTTATTAATTTATTAGTTAAAAATTATTATTCTTATACTCGTATCTTCTTTATTATTATATATTTTATACTGTAAAAAAATCATGGTATACTTATATCAGTAGAAAAGGTAAAAACTGCCCTCTATAGATAGAATAGACAGACGGATAGTTTGGGATTAATAGGTAATAGGATTTCGGCTGGGCCCTTTGGGTATGGAATTAAAACTTTCCTTACATTTTCTATTTAGTCTTAACTATAGTAAAATAATAATTTGTAAGTTTTTAGTTAAAACGAAAAAACTAGAAGTTAACACGAAACTCGAAAGGCATATCTACTTGTAACACCTTCAAAAAACATACCTTCTATTACATAATGTGTTATAATATTAAAGGAGCAATTCTTGTTTATAAAACTAGCATTGCCCGCGGCTCCGCCCGCGTTCCGATGACCAAAAACCAAATTCTTAGGTTTTACATATTAGTATACTCTTACATTGCAGTTTTTGTATTTTTTCTCAGAAATGAGACATTTTCCCGCGGTAAAAAGTATCCTATATATTGACCCGAATAACCAGCTATCATCATACCAAATTTCATCAAAATCTGTCCAGTGGTTTTCTCGTGGTGCGGTAACAGACAGACAGACAAAAATTATAAAAACTATAGATTCGGACTCTGTATCGATAATAATGTCTATTTCAATTAGATTTTCCAAAAAATATTTAATGTACAGATTCGACTTAGTTACAATTTTATCATGATTTGATTTCGTGTATATCAGAAACGGCTCGAACAATTTAGATCAAATTTTGTATTCAAATAAGCTTTTGATTTTTAAGTTTATCTAACTAGGTGTCTTTTCCGAAAAAGCAAAGTTTGTGTGTCCAGGAACTACTAGGTTGTATGGGACAATGTAGTTTTAAATAGACCTTTCAAATATCCATCTTCGTCCCCCTTTGTTAGTTGAATGCACAACTACCGCCCACGGCAGATTAGTGTCAATTTGAATTTATGGTAGCACTCGCACCTCACGTGGCCGGCAGTGATTTGTAACAGCCTAACACCAATTACGCTACCATTTTGTTATATGCGGTCTTGAAAGTATTTACCTCTATGCCTCAATTCACAGATTAGTCTTTCTATTCTATTAGTTTTATCTATACTATGGTGCATATGTATTCTACTTTATACAGGTATAATACTTAGTCCAGACTGATCAATTCATTATCGAATCAAAATGCTAAAGCTAATTAGATGAAACTTTGATAGACATCTTCCTTAATGACACAAGTTACTGTTAATCAAGTACTGTTAATGATACAAGTTACATACGTTTATACATAAATTCAATTTTATACAAACGTAGGTAAATACGACATTTTCATTTTCGATGAAGTATATGTATAGGGTAAATGAAAATCGAAATGTTTCGGAAAATTGGTGTTCAGTAAGTAATTGTAAAGTATTAAAGACTTCATAGTGTACCCAATAAAAATAATCTTTGGCTTAGAACTTAAAAATAATACACATTATTTATATCTATTTTCATGAAAGCTTTTCTCGCAGTAATAGGTATACAAAACTGTACATATTTATTACATTAAGTTCGTGGCCGAAAGCTGTCGCGCTGTCTCGCTTGAAGCACATCCGTGTTAACTTAGCAAATTATTGTTTACTAGCAAAAAACAACTTAGATCCCTTCAAACAAAACATATTTTGCTCTAATTTGAGAATTGCAAGATAAACTACCCACCTCTGCGTGCATAAATCGTACCATTTAGCAGGTACCAGCTACTACAGAGACGGATATATTCATTATTAAGCGGAAGCGATTTACATAATAACCTATTCAAGAACTTCCTTTGAAGTGGGATTGGTTGGGATTAATTCGGGCACAACCCAAATCGTATAATTCAATATATTAACAAAAGCTTAACTATTACCCACAGGTGTCTACTTAAAAAACAGATTTCCCGACCGTATTGTATCAAATGTACCTATTTTCATTTCACATTCAAATTGATCGTAGAGAAATTGAATTTTATTATACAAAATAAATATAAACATTACCTATGTAACAGCTTATACTTGATCCCTTACATTCGAACTTTTGTGGAAGAGCGCTGTTCGTTTATCACACTAGCTTGAAAAGCCTTTGACGCGAATTGCAAAAGAGGTTTTGGCAAACAAAATAAGAAAAGCTCTAATTTAGTTCCTAAAAGGAAAAAATATTGCCTTTGATTTTTACTCCGACGTCAGACAGACGTACGCCGTTGAGTGCTAGACGACGAAATACGAAAGAATAGAAGATATAAACAGTAAAAATAGTTTTATTTCAGTGTACTCTAACAAGGAAAGTGTTAGAAAGTGCTCATTAAAGGAAGTTGATATTTTGGCCCCGATTGCGAAATGCCGCCAGCGACGCGACAGTTTATTACAAGACCAAATGCTTTTCTTCTGTCTGGCTGTTAAGTTAGTTATTTCCGGTAGACAATATATGTATATTATGTATAAGTGTAGTGAAACAAACAAAAACAAAATCTGTTTCCTTTGTATCTGTCTTGTATACAGAATAGACTTCTTGAGATATAAATTGAACTGAATGAATTGCTTCATTGGTCTGATGAAGTTTCTCCGTGTACGTATTGGTGCTCATTATACGAGCATTGCAGAAAACATTCAATTATTATTAGATATTCTATATAAGGAATACGATGTGAACCTATAAATACTAGAATTATCTATACTAGTAATATTATTTTATTTGTTTGTTCGATCGAATATCTGAATATACCAGTCAGATATGAAACAAAATATTTATAGAGCTTATAGCCATTTTATTGAGAAAACCTATAAAATCATGCTACGTGCAATTACTCATACCTAAATTATGTCTTAATATATAAGTTAACTAAGCAGGTGGAGCCACGGGGAATAGCAGATATTCATTTTTATTGTATTAAATCACTTTGTAATAAGATAAAGAAAAAGTGACAACTCACTTTGTACTCCGCTTTAAGCCGCTATATCCGCTATTGTAACGTAATATTGCATGTGTCTGAGAGCACTGCAACGTAGGTTACAGGTTCGACCCCTGAACGGGGTGAATGGATATTTTTTGGCTTCAGAGGATATTTATAATCAATTATAGACTTAAATAAACCTTGAGCTTTCGTAGTCACTCACCACTCAAAAACGCATACGCTC